GATGTGGTAAACGTTCAATGATAACTGAACGTGGTGGTACAGGAATTGCATTTAGACGTCTGATAACTGTTTGACTAGCAATCGGTTGAGGTGGTTGTGGAGGTTTCTCACGCAGAACGAGCGGTGGTCTGAAAACGATAAATCCGATAATATGAAAAAGTTTTGAAAATAATTATTAAATAGTCATAAAAATGTTTTAACGTTAGACAGGTTCTTCTCGGCGTTGCGACTCAATAAAGAATACAATAAAATTTTTGAATCGTTAACTAATTATTGTGCTCTATCATTAAATATCACTATAGCTGTCAAAAAATCTTGTCATTAAACAAGATTAATCAAAATATCGAAATTAATAATTTTAATTTTCAAAAATTCTACTTCTAAAATTCTAAAATTCTAATCTTACTCTTAATTTCCGTGTTAACTCATTGAATGTTAATAAAAACCATATTGACTCGTTTTGGTACGTTGAATTAGAAACTAGACATTAATCTTAGAAACCGTTAATTTTCTGCTAGTAAACCTTATTTGTTATTAGTAAAGAACAAAGTGTTTCGTTTAACTTACGGAGTCGGTAGTTGAGGTGCTCTTTGACGTATAACAAGTGGCGGCGGTGGTGGTGGCTGGGGGGGTCGAACTTCTTTAATTATAAGTGGCTAAAATAAGTATAGTGCATTAGAAACATGATGATACAACATATTAAAAAATAGAATGCGAATAATCCTCAATATTCTTCTTATACACCTGAATCATTCATATTTGTTTTAAATGTGTATATAAAAATCTCATACTATCTAATAGTCATAAATAAGTGCTCTTCTGCTACTAGTCTTTGACAGAAGTGACGACTGTATTAAAATATGATAAACTTACGCCTGGAGGAGGAACGGGCGGCGGTTGTAAAAATTTCACTAAAATATTTTGTTTATACGTGACAGCACCACCTGCAGCTTGACGTCGAATAATTTGAGGGTTTGGATCATTAAATAGACCACCCGCTGATTGTGATGAATAATCAACGGCGCTTGATTCAGCTGAAACACCACCAATGCCGGTAGCTAAACCAGCAGCGGACGAGGATGATTCATAACCACTTTGTGCAGCACTAAACGAGCTAGCATCAATCCCTCCTTGCTGGAATTGTTGCGATGATTCATAAGTTGATCCGTATAGATTACCGCCACTCAAATTTCCACTTTCAAATCCCCCATATAGTTGAGAAGAACCTCCGCCAGCTGACGATAAGCCATCAAAGCCACTATTAAGTCCTTGACCCCCTAGCCACTGTCGAAATTCATTTGAATCGATGCTACCATCTTTGTTGGAGTCCACTTGCGCAAACACCGCTTTGGCAGCATCAAAACTACCTTGTCCTGAATAATCGAAATTTGTCATTGTATTTATGGTGAGTAGAAGAGCGATATGAATGCGCAGATAGATTCCAAGAAAAGTGACGCTCGCTTTTATCTGGGAATAATGCTCAATCAACCGTTTCAGTGATCAAGGAAATGCTTTTAAACCATTGTCAATGAACAATACTGTATCATTGAGAAGATATATTTGTTCTCTTCTTCTTCTTCTTAACCCAATCATTATTATGTTGTAACATTGAACGTATTCTCAACGTTACAGCTTGAAGTATTAAATCGACAAAATAATAAACTCGTCTCAAAAGGCAATATAGCGCCTTGTGATGATATAAATAACTGTTAACCTTAGTTATTATGTCAAGGTTCAACTGTACTTTATGCAGTCTATTTACATTCATTCAAAATCAGATATTTCCAACAAGCGGTTAATGTGCTAAATCAAATTTATGTCTTGCTCTCATTTCATATAAACGAACGGATCACCGTCTTATTTTTTTTTCTCGATTAGTAACAGATAGTACTAAATGTTGAATAATTGTATATGGAAGTTATAAATATATTGATCGTTTGTGGTTTTATTTTATATACGAATGGCTTAAACTTAATTGAAGTAATCGTACACACCTATCGTGCAATTATTTTTAGTATAGAGAATCATCTTTTGCACTCTGCGAATATGGAACGATACACCGCTAGATTCAACACTTGCAGGCAGTTTAGGATATGAAGGTTTAGAAAACTCCGTAAAAGCAGGAATATTGATGAAAACAACAATTCAAATGTCAGTCAGCTCCTTTTTCATCTGGACTTAAAAGTCTCAAGTGACATAAATCGATATTGATAACTAATTGATATTCTTACGTAAGCATTGATGACGTAATAACACAAGGTTTATTCAAAGTTTGATCATTATGATATCTACTATAAAATATAATGACCAATAGTGTGATGTCCGTCTGTGACTCAAATTTTATTTATGATATTAGAGCGCTTTTTTATTCGATCTCGTATTGAAACACTGAGGTGTATTAATATCCTCATATCAAAAAGATGCAGCAAGGAAACCAGCATAGTCACTAATAATTTTACTATACAGGCAGATGTTCTGTTTCGGTATCTGTTACAGACTATAATCCATTAGAGATAACGTATCTAAATACCTTAGAGATGTACTTAGCAATGGGTACTTCCTTTATGTGCGAAAAATATCAGAGAAGTTGGACAAAGCTTGAGCATATACTTGTATGCAAGTATACTAGGGTAGTTATTCAAGTACAGGGTTCTTCATCGTTCTTACAAATGATAACAACAGAATTTTTTCGAGAAATGTCTTAAAAAATTTGACAGAAAGTAATTCAAACTTCAATTCTATTGAGCAAAAAACAATTGCTCTACCCAGTAGCGGTGGAGCCAGTTAAAAACCCTGAAGACGAAGGTTTTTTTGGAAAACTGAAGGTAAATTGATTTCGCATGAGAAAGACCATTTTGAATTAATTAATACAGAAGATAAATGTCGAAAATATTTTTCCGATACTTACGCATGAAATTTCCTTTTTTTACATATTTTGGCACATTGGCATCAAAAGTAGGTGTGAATAATTAAGACAAGTCGAGATTAAATTCTCGTTCTCCTGTGTCACAATAGTTATTATACACTAGTACAAAAATTTCTTGAAAATTCACGTTGATTTTTCAGGTATATTGAGATAGGAGTCGAGTGGTTGTGATTGACTCTTCTTACCTCGTGTGAAATAAAAAGAGTCAACTCACTTATGTCGATGAAATTAAAAATTACATCATTGTGAAGCTCTATCCTTCCTCTATCGAACCATATAATTTTGATCTTCATATCTGTTTCCTTCATTAAGTTAATTAGGCTACAATAAAACGTGTCATCTTTAAAAAATTTTCTTT